ATATGTGGAGGCCGTGACGTCACGCATAAGAGAATTGGAAAATATTGGGGACTTGGTTAAGGAGGCTGAATTTCCAAAAAATTTAAATGCAGTTAGTTGCGGCTATGCCATAAGATTATGATCATAATTTTTTTAAACCATTTTAACAACATTTATAACAGAAAAATGGCAAAAGAAAGAATTTAAAAAAAAACGAATCGAATTTTGGGGCACTTTGGGGTCGTTTATTGTTTTAATTTGTACCTCACACACGTCTCCTAATTATTTCAGAATTATGCGGATTTTTCTAGATTTTTATGTCAATCCGCTCTGGTAGGAATTTACCACTGACCCATTTTTTATTCGAAGACTTTTATATAGTAGTTTAGATAAAGACAGGTGGGGGACGCCGTGAATCAAATTGTTTAAACATTTGCATTTGTTTAAACAATATGAGGCACGTGTAATAAAGAGCGTGAGAATCAATTGGTTTGAATATTTAATGTTCTTTTAATATTATCAATGCGATTTGAATTTTAAATGACAAAAATCGGTTACAAAATGTCTTAAATCTGTTGTGGAAATGTAAATTAAATATTCTTTTAGCAAAAGGATATCAGTATTATCTTGATTTTTTGGATATACATATTTCGTGCGTGTGTGTGTACATAGCAGAGCGAATCATTATTTATTTTTGTTTTTTACAAATCCAAAGTTTGTAGATAACTCAACATTTGAAAACAAATGAAAAGATTTGCGATATAATCGATTTTTTAACCGCGCATTTTAAATTTTTTGTGACTGGTATTTTCATTTTTTCCCCTGCGCGGTCACACTTAAAATGCTACATACACTCATTTACGACTTAATGCAAAGTGCGCCAGCAGAACATACATACAAACATATGTGGAGGCCGTGACGTCACGCATAAGAGAATTGGAAAATATTGGGGACTTGGTTAAGGAGGCTGAATTTCCAAAAAATTTAAATGCAGTTAGTTGCGGCTATGCCATAAGATTATGATCATAATTTTTTTAAACCATTTTAACAACATTTATAACAGAAAAATGGCAAAAGAAAGAATTTAAAAAAAAACGAATCGAATTTTGGGGCACTTTGGGGTCGTTTATTGTTTTAATTTGTACCTCACACACGTCTCCTAATTATTTCAGAATTATGCGGATTTTTCTAGATTTTTATGTCAATCCGCTCTGGTAGGAATTTACCACTGACCCATTTTTTATTCGAAGACTTTTATATAGTAGTTTAGATAACTAAATAATTTAAAAAAATATTTTTTATGTTCTGTACTTAGTGTTTACTACATATGTACATAGAACACCAGTTTGTTCTGCTTTTTTAATTGCCAATTGTTAATTCAGACCTTGGTGCCGCTCCGATTTGAAAGTGTCTGTTGAAAAAGTGTTTCCCCAAGGCGGGGCCGTCCATTAAGTGATTCACACACCTGGCCTGGGCTAAATTTAAGAATTCGGGTTTTTCTTTTCCGGGTGACTGCAATCCAAGGGGGCCGGTCCCCGTCATCCCATTCCATTCCATTCAGCAGTCACGTACGCCATATACAATGCGCTGTCTCTTTGTTTATTGTTTTTTGGCGAAGCTATCACCACACAAATAAATGGAAATCCAAAACCATGATTTATAATATTCCAAACAATCTTGACCTTAACATGTCTAGTTTATGTTTTGATAGATTATTGTTAATGCGTATTAACTAAGACACTTTAAATTTGCTAAGATTAAGTTGATTAACTAAGCTGAAGGTTTTCTTAAAATCCATTTCACTTGTTAGCGTTTAATTTAAGAGTCAATTTAATTGTGGAATAAAAAATGTAGTGTCTACTTTTCTTCGAATTTAAAATTTCTTTCTTGACTTTAATGTTTTGCCCATTATTAAATAGGAATAAAGCAACCAAAGCCTTTAAAATAATGTTGATCAAAGCAATCTCTTTCTTAAACATTCACTAATACTATATTTCTTTCACTAAACGAATTCTAATTTTCTGATTTGGCTCTTTACTTTTCCAGCACCATGTTGGACGTGATCCAACCAAGCAGCAACATCTCGACCAGCGAGAGCACCGATGTGGTGGTGGTGCGTGCCAGACCCAAGAAGGTGTTCAAGCCGAAGGCGCGGATCAATCGTATTCCTCAGGAGCTGCTCGATGATCCACTGCTGCAGAAGGCCATCGACCGCCTGCCCTCAAACTACAACTTCGAGATGCACAAGACCATCTGGCGGATAAGGGAAATGAAGGCCAAGCGCGTAGCGCTGCAGCTGCCGGAGGGTCTGCTCATGTACGCCATGGTCATCAGCGACATCGTGGAGCGATTCACCAGCGCGGACACCGTCATAATGGGCGATGTGACCTACGGAGCCTGCTGCGTGGACGACTATACTGCCAAGGCACTAGGAGCGGATCTGCTGGTCCACTACGGACACAGCTGCCTCATTCCCGTGGATCAGACGTGCGGCATTAAGGTGCTGTACATTTTCGTGGACATTAAAATCGATCCGCTGCACTTTCTGGACTCTGTTAAGCTTAACTTCCGCCCTGAGGTGGGCCAGATAGCTTTGGTCAGCACAATACAGTTCGTAACCACGCTGCAGGCTGCATCCACGGAGCTGAAGGCAGCCGGCTATGATGTGATAGTTCCCCAGGCCAAGCCACTTAGTCCCGGAGAGATCCTAGGCTGCACATCGCCGCAACTGCCGGAGACGACAAAGATGATAATTTACCTGGGAGACGGGCGTTTCCACCTGGAATCCGCCATGATTGCGAACCCGCTGCTTAAGGTGAATTGCTCGTAAAGAGAGCTTTATAAATATGTTGAATTTTATTAACACTTGTCGTTTTCCCTTTCAGGCATACAAGTACGATCCATATGAGAAAAAGTTCACCATAGAGCAGTATGACCACACGGCCATGCAGAATCTTCGCCTGGATGCTGTACAGCGGGCTAAGAAGGCGAGCCGCATCGGAATCATTCTGGGAACACTTGGAAGACAAGGCAGTTCCAGAGTTCATAGATTTTTGGAAAAGCGACTCCACGCCAAGGGCATCGAGACTACCACACTGTTACTGTCGGAGATCTTCCCACAGAAACTAGCTCTCTTTGCGGACATCGACGCCTTCGTTCAGATTGCCTGCCCGCGGCTTTCGATCGACTGGGGATCGGCCTTTAGCCAACCGCTACTGAATCCATATGAGCTATCTGTCGTCCTGGGCGATGTCGAGTGGACGCCACACAACTCGTCGCCACGCAACAATGCATATCCGATGGACTTCTATGCCAGCGGCAGCCTAGGGCCCTGGACGCCCAACTTTAAGCCACCAGCGCTGGGAGAATGCGAGAACAAACCATCAGCGGATTGCTGTGGCCGATGCACGCGGGCAGAACTGGAGAAGGATGACAACGGGAAGGCGGCGGCTCTGGACGATCTTCTCGACTTCAAAAAGGGATAAGGGATTTATCTAACTCGCTCCCAACTGCCCGCAGAGCCCTCCATCTCAAGCGATCAACCATGATTGTCTGCCCAAATATAATGCTTAATACTAATTTAGTTAGTACAAATTTGGTTTTTAAGTTCTTACTTTTAGGTCATTTTTGTGTTCATCACAGATAGTTTCATAATTTGCTAATTCGCATTGTCGATCTTTAGTTTATTTACTAGATATATTTTTAAAAAAGATGCAATTGTTATAGTAATAGCAACGATGTACACAATATTTAACATTAAAAGAATGTTTTAAAAGACCAATTGAGTATTTAAATACAGCAATGATTTTTGTATATATATATTTTCTTTAAACCTATTTTTTTAATTCGTGTGGGAATCAAATAGAAATATTTTTAATTCTTGATGCCTAAGGTCGTAAATTTCTAAAACTTCACTGCTATAGTTTTTCGTCCACTTTCGATTTCTTCTAAAGGTAATTTTATGTACATACATACCTCAAAATGGCCGCTAAAAATGATTTCACAGGAATCAATAAATTTATTGCCAAAATATGTTTGTTATTTCTAACAAATTAAAAAGTTTTAAACTTAATTGTTTAAAATTACAGTCCCTAATCATTTTTTGCTTTAATTGGTTTCATCCAAATGAGATCTAACCTATTAAGAAATAATAAATTCGTTTTTTAGTTTTGAACATTTTATTTTATTGCAAGAATATCACGTATATTTAAAATATATACAACTTCTTTTAAATGTTTGTTATGTTTTAAACAATTGAACTAAATGATTGGCTATGATTTGGTTGTTTATACAATTGGTCTATTAAATTGGCTAAAAATTTCATAAGGTTTATATATACAATTGCACTACTTAAACTAACAAGTTATATACAATTTTGATGACATATATACAATTTTGATGTATATACAATTGAACTAACTATCAACTAACATTTACAATTGAACTATAGAATTAACTAGAATTTACAATTGTCTAAATTAACTAGAATTTAAAATTGTCTAAATTCGGCTATTTGCTGACACCGCAAGCGATGAATGCTTGAATCCTCGAAGTTGTTCCCAGGGTGTGCTAGATGCGATGGTCCTTGTTATCTGATCCTCAGGTCCCGCAAAGAACTAGCGGCGGATCCGTAGAGCTCCGCCAAAAGCTGTTGTTGGTCCGCGATGGATGTTGTCGGTCGGAGGACATCGCTTGCAGTGCAGGTTGAATCTCAGTCGACCAGTGGTTTTTATACTCCTTCAGGTAGGTGAAATTTTCAATTTTACAAGATAAGATCCCTTTGCCTGCTTTAATGACTTTGACCTTGGCGAAAATTGCCACACCGCGATTACCTAAAAATTTCCTGGAAAGATAAACACGGTCCCCTAGAAAATATTTTTGAGTACCCGCTGATTAGTAAAAATGGATTTGCTTAGGTGGCCGTATGTAGGTAGTAAACAATTTTTCCTTTTACATCTGTTTGCCAGTTAAGATAATGTTTAATCTTAGGTGTCATAAATAAGAATTCATTAAAAAAGAAATTCAATTAAATTATCTTTAGTTTTTATATTTAACTTTTTATGTAGTTCTTATAATATCAATATGATTATGTAAAAAGGTGAAGTATCAACAGAAAAACTGTGGGAATTCAAATTGTAATATCTAGTCAGTCGAGTTTTTAATTAGAGATTTCCAGTTTTGTCATTTCATCTTAGAGCAGGCATTTGTTTCTTGTCGTATTCCGTTTAATCTGTAAATAGGACAACGTCCTGGGGATTCCTCTGAAAAACATTAACATTTGATTTTAAGAGGTATTCAATCATCAAAAACATTTCTAGACCTTGCCAACCTTGCTTTTTTTAACATGAAGTTCCAGTTGCTTTCCTGCATTTTTTTCGACTTCTGATTTTTGAATAGTGGCCTTAAGGTTTTGAATTTCATCCATTAGCTTTTTGCGTTCGTCTTTGAGGAAAAACACCTCGCGTTTTAGGGAACACCTAAGAATAAATTTATATTTAAAAAAATATATAAATTAACACATAACAATGCCATCGTACACTTCAAGTTCCAAGTGCTTCACGTAATTATCGCCTTCCGAATCGATGATCTCCACATGGTCCTTGTCATTCGCCTGCGGGTTCATGGGATCCAGAATTTCTACTTCTAAATGCCTCTGATCTTGAAGATTGTCTTCTTTAGATTGTTGGGAGGATGTACTACTATTTTCACTGATCAGGTCCACAACTTCATTGTAAACGCTGGATGAATTTTCCTCCAAGTCCTCAAGATCTGTGGTAAAGTCGCATAGTTGGATTTCTATGGTTTCTGGGGCATCTAGAGACTGTGGTTCTTCCTGGAAGAATTTGGCGCTGTTGGCGATCTTTGCAGATTTATTTCTGTAATCCTTTTTGTTTTTTCCACGCTTTTCTTTGCCCAACTTTTGGGGCCCCTTAACACTTGGAAATGAGCCGGGTTTAAGTTTTGTTGGATTTTTTTGAGTAAAGCCAAGTTCGAACTGCATATTCCGCTCAAAGTCCTCGGGTGCAAAGTGCTCATTGCAAATGCAGGCTGTTTAAAAATAAAATTAATTTATTTACTTTTTACACAGTTGTTGTTAAATAATACCTGTAGCTGGGTTAATGCTATCGCGCTGGCAGAAATCAATCCATTTTTGGAGGTGCAGCTCTTCTTTTGGGAAGTGAAAGTATCGCCATTTTCTTCTATTGGAATTGCGATTATTATTTCCGCAATTACTCACAGCACAGCGCATTTTAAAAACAATTATTAATTACAAACTAAACAAACAGCTGATTTTTGTGTGGCAAGCGTCATGACTAAAGTGGTTTGAAACTTGGAACGGCGGATAATGGATAACATTATCCGACCAGTAATTATCGTTATTTTTAAAATTAAATAAAACAATTCTAAAATATTAACACACGTAAATTTTGAATATATAGGAACATATTTATGTAATTAATGCAAATTTTATTTTAAATTGTATTTAAATAGAGACCTCCTCTTTTTCACGATTTCCAACACCGATTAATCAGCTGATTTCAAGTTGTAATCTCTATTGGTTTGTTTTGATTTTCTTGGCTAATTTTTGTTATTATGTTGAGAAGCAGCAATATAAATAGGTAAATAAACTAAAACACTGCTTTCTTAAATTTGTGACCCACGAACTCTTCCCTCTTAGTGTTCTCAATGAGCTCCCTGATCCATCAGCTCAATCTTCCTCCAGTTCAAATGGAAACCTAAAACAGGATGCGGAAACTTGTTGCTCCTCCAAGGATCAGGATATCATGGGCAGTCTAGCCGCTTTGCAGTTATCCGCAGGCGTACTCCAAATAGCAGAACCTCCATTAGAACATGTGCGTGGACAACTCAGGGAGTTGATGTAGGTACTTTGGTTCGGAATCCAAGATCACTTTATGAATAACTCGTTTTAGTGGAAGACAGAACAAAATATACATCGATTTATCCAAGGAGAAATACAAACTGGACTGCAGCGAAGTGGCGAAACTGAATGACATGGTATGTAAGTCTTTGGATCCCTAGAAATTATCAAGATCATTTGTGGTCATCTCGAAAATTATCTAAGGTTATAACACTTTCTCTCGGCTTCGATGTTGATGATTCAGTTTCAGTTTCTTTAACTCCTTTTTTCTTAAAGCCCAAAACTTTATCCAATTATATTTATTGTATTCTTTGATAAGGTATGAATTATTTATCCTTGTAGATTGCAAAAATTAATATTTTTAATTTAAGTAAATAATTTCTAAAGTTTATAAAAACATACAATACCAATATTCATTACTCAAATATATTGATTGATCAGTAACCTAAACCTAGGTCCGATCAGCACATCATTTTTATGTCGAGGTTACAATCAATATTTCAGACCAATTAGGGACACTGTATAAGGCACAATACCATGACAAAGCTTAAGAAAACTCATTAAGTTGGTCAAAATCTTATCAGTGGGTGCAGTTAAAAGTCTGTGATCACAATCTTATCTAGAGAAAGAACAAGGTAACTAGGCATTATAAAATACAATGTAACTAACTCAATTACTTTTTCAATGTATTTAGATGAGCGATGTAAAGCGATACAAGGAGAAACTGACAAAGATCAAGAAGGAAATGCAGGGAGTCTATCAGCGCACGAAAGAGTTGAAGGTGAGAAATGATTTAGGAAAAATAACCCATAATAAAACAGTAAAGGAAGTAATCAAAAAAAAAACCCGCTGTTGATTAAAACGTTTATTAGCTATAAATTGCTGATTACAGAAACGAGCCGCAAACGTGGCGGCCTGCAAGCACCGCGACTACCAGCGGAAACTCGACAGGCAACAGCACGAGGAGTCGCTCATCGGCAGCCACTAGACGCACTGGATCAGTCACCAGATCTCGGATTTTACAAGCACTACACCCAGCAAAGGCGCATTTACATTGGAATTTCCGTTAACAACTAGCTAACAACTTAACACAGATAACAGTTGAACAAAAGTTAAACCATTTGGATACATAATAATAGTTGTATATGTTATAAGAGTTGGCTATCGTATGCCTGCGATAAGTCGGAAAGCATTACATTGTTTATTGTGTATAGTTAAGTAAATACTTAAGAGATTTTCAGAAAAATAGAGCCACATGCACCCGGAGTAAGGGAAGCCAATGACTACGGTATACTACTACGCTACAAAAATTATTTATAAATATACAAATATGTTAAACATTAAGATGGTGTGGAGAAACAGTAGTTGAATAATCACAGCTCCAAGGCAGCAGCTTATATAAACAATAATTCACATGCAAACAAACTGCTGCGCTTGAAATTCTACAAATTATTAAGTTTTCACATTGAATTCAAAGGTAAATGAGGAAAGAATTTCGCTTGCGCGACATGCATGTACATAGGTGGCAATGTGTGGGATTGTGGGGTTACTAAGATAAGTTACTACTTAATTAAAGCACGTTTACAATACAGGTAGTTGTACATCTATTCAACATGCGCTTCGAGAGTAGAAATATGTTGAAGTGGAGCATTCAGTTGAACAGTAGAAGCGTGGCCTCTTGTCGCTGTTGCTGGTTCGTTGGTGATTGTTGGTGTTTGGTGGTGTGGGTGGTGATGCGGTCAAACCAAATTTAGCTAACTCTACTATACTCCTGATCATTCAGCATGTGCATTGCATCTGTCGGTGCGAAATACTTGACAGTGCCTAAAAATATTCAGAAGAGTTAGTCAAACATTTTTATATATTTTAAAAATTAATAAAAATAAAGGCTGTATAGTCAATAGTTCATTATTACCCCCATAAATAATAATATACGGAGTTCACTGATTTCAGTACAGTTTTTTAGTTTAAATAAAATATGCAACATTTTCAAAAAATAAAAAGGACATATATTAAAAAATAGTAATTTTCTTCAGCTTATATTTGTCAATTCAGAATATCGATTTCCCACTCAAAATAATTATTATTTGTAATTATTAAAAAGTCGTCCATAAAGTATTTTTTCAGCATCTTGAGGATATGAAGACTCATTTTATTTTTTGTTTATTCCAGTTCACATATATACATTTAAATTGAAAAAAAAAATATGATACGATTATCATCGTTTCTGTTATATATTCCAAAACTTTTTAAGTTAACTTAACCAGGCTATAGTAATTTAAATTCATTTTGAGCCATTTATGTCTGTTATCGGTAGTCAATCGTCAAGCAGTCTATAATAAGAACCACGGCATATCATTTGGAGTGATATTAATATCGATTTTGTGCCTTATGGCTTTTAAGCACATTTGCCAAATAGGAGTTGTATTTGTCTACGATGTACTTTTGTAGGTTAATACTTTTATAAATTCAGGGAGCTAGCCTTTTTATTAGTTTATTGGAAATACTCCCATTTTTAAAGCATTGGAAAAAACTGTTGGGAGATCTTGCTCAGCATCAACTTAAGTCGACTTCACGGAACTCGTCTTTGTCTGTATTGTCAGTATTTTTAGGCTTGACTGTCTCCAAGGATGCAGAAGCTGAGGCAGTGACGGAGGCGGAAGAGACTCTACCCTTACCATTTTCGTCGATGTTGCTGTTGCGCTGCAGATATAGTTGAATGGACACGTGAATCACAAAGATAATGAAGGCGCCAATTCCAAAGATCTCGAAGGTGGTGCGTGCAGTGACCGACTCAAAGAGCAGTCCACCAATCAGGCTGCCCATGGAGACACCAACGCCCTCGAAAATCGCTCCAACCAGACTCTGAATCGAGAAAATATAAATCAAATTATTGAATTTCTTTCTTTAAATCATAAAGCCCACCTGCATGGTAGCCTCAGTTCCAGGCGGTGCCACAATGCTCGCATAGGAGGCCATTGTTGCATAAAACAGCCCGAAGGTCACCCCATTCATTAGTTCGATGGGCAGGATGTACCAGGGATTCTGCAGCATCGAGTACAGAATAAATCTCACTCCAAAACCAAAAAGCACCATACTCATGGCGTTTACATGCCCAATCTTCTTCAGAATCCAACCGGAAAGGAAAAAGAAGGGCAGCTCGCCGCCGAAGCACTGAATTCCCATGACCAAACCCTCCAGGGTCTTAATCGAGCTGTCACATCCCTCGAACGCCTTGTCCAGCTGCTCTAAGTAGATGAACAGAAAGTTCCAGATGAGCGCAGTTCCAAGTCCAATGGCGACGCACCACAGAAAGAAGATCACGCAGCGCAGCGAGAGGAACATCTGACCAATATCCTTAACTATGTTGGACGACAAATGTGTCTGCGTGTGCTGTAAATTGAATACAGAAAATGATTAAATTATTAAAATTATTCAAGTTTTAAATAAAATTGTTTCTAAGTTATATTCAGGATCTATTTTAAAATGGTCTTAGATATACTCACCCTGAGCTTGGATGACGCGAACACATCAAATCCCATGATAATCAGGGCCATCCAGAAAACGGCCGTGTAATTTTTGTCCACCTCTCCCAATGACATGTGATCCACGAGGACGCCGGCCAACAAGGCGAACACTCCCCAACCAAGGGAGCCGCACAGGCGCTGCTTTCCATACAGATGGTGACGATCCCCGAGGATGCCAAAGCAGATAGCATCTCCGATGCTAACTACCACCGCCATGCCGATCCAGCTGAAGATGAGCAGGCCGAAGAACAGCCAGAACTTCGGCATGGACATGGCACTACTGGTGTTGATCACCGCACTCTCCGCCAGCTGCTCTTTGAGGTAATCCTCTTGGCAGTCCATGGTGCAATTGGTTTTGAAGTACTCCTTGTCCGCTGGACAATACAAGGTGACATTCTGCCCTGCAATCTGGCCTTGGTCACGGGGAACCTTAAAGAACAAGCAGTCCTTTATGTCCTCGATGTCCTTCATGTTGATGCTGGTACCAAATTCGATCTGGGGATTGGTGCGATTGGCGGCACAGTTGTCCGTCTTGTTCTGCAACCAATCCTGGCACGCAATGTCCCACATGAAGGGCTGCGCCTCGCAGTTTAGATGGCAGTCCAGCGTTCGATTTCCATAGTAGCGCTCCAGATTCCTCTCGACACACTCGCCGTATTCGGAGCAGAATCTCAACTCGGAAACCCCAGCGTGGCAGTGGAATTCCACCTTGGGCAGCGGCTTCTCCATCCCCGGCACAAACATGATCAGGAAGAAGGCGATCCCGGTGAGCACCTGGCCACCCAGGAAGAGGGATCTATGGCGATGGTACCTTCAAATTGATTAAAAAATACTTTTAATATTTTCGACAGCTTTCAGTAACTAGAATAATGTATTTTTAAACTTTTATCTGGAAAAGTAATGTGGGTCTCTAATTATTTTCTATATCATTATATAGAAGTGAAAACCAAAACATTGGCGATGATATCTAATCAGTTTGCCATGCTATCCAATCTATCAAAGTGCTACAACTAATTGAACGCTCAGGTGTTTATTTTAACTGAAATTTTATTCAATAAAAACTTGTTGAGGTATTTAACTAGATTATTTAACCGTTTACCCATGGTAGTGCTATTAAGGTATTTTCTAAATTGTTATTTAGATACTGAAATGATAACGGCCAACTTGTAGCAGTCTACTTATGTTAGATATTCATTTAAAAACCAATAAAAATTATGATTATATCAGTTGAAAAACTTTTTTCTGTTTTTTATATGTAAACTATTAAATTACACTTCCATTTTTTCGCTAAGCTTGTAGAACGAAAAAATGGTAAAAATTCCGACTGCGTGTAAATATGATATACCTAATTTGATAAGAAATGGGCTTGGGTCTCGGAAATTTAAGATTCATAAAAGTAGGATCGTGTAAGTATAAGAAAATGGGTTAGACTTTTTATGATACACAGATTAGTTAGCTCATCTTACCGGTCTGCAATGTAGCCGAAAAGAGGCTTCGCCAGCATTCCAATGATGGGCAGAATCATGTACATGGTGCCCACAACCGCGGGGGAGTATCCCAGCTGTCCGGCCAAAGTCGGCATAAAGGGGACGACGGGAGCGGTACCTAGATAATAAAGCAGAAAACAACAGTAGATTATCTTACAGATGCGTTATAGCTGATAAGTGGATGAGTGAGTGGGTGGAGATATGCATATGGGCAGCTAAACATGATATTCAGTATACATATACGACTAGTTATGGGTGTTTCTCCCTCACCGATAAGCAAAGTCTACCGCAAACAAGTGGACCTAGATATTTCATACTCGCGTCGAAGTAGAATTTAATGTCAATTGAATTAAAAGGTAAAAGTAAGCTTTAATTGCTGAAAGTGGTTTGGCTGTCGGCACGTCTTAACTTTTGATGACTTTCGGGGAGCGGCAGGTCACTGGGCCGTTGGGGCTGTCACTAAATTTATTTTCTTTACCTTTGCCCACATTTTAAATTGTATACCGTTGTGCTTCTGGTCCGTCACGTCGAAAACGGTTTAGAGATGATATAAACAACTTTATAAAAACCTTATCTTAAGTCTTCATCTCCAAGACTACTCTGCCTTATAACATAATTATCTTTTCAATAAAAGTAAGCAAATAGACAAAGTGCAAACTAACATCTAGCATATAAATTGTTTTTTTTTTACTTAATAAAAAGTATATTCTTAACCAATTTAAAAGGTTATATTTCCAACGAAAAATATTGAAACAATTCAAATTCATTTTCTAGAATTTTGTCTTATCTCAACTACCCAAAAATGAAATGTGATTCAATTCCACGAATTAACATCAGATTGGAAACTGTATAATTTGGTTTCCATGCGGCCTTAACTCAAGTAAAGTGTTCAATTAATTAGACGTCAGACAGTTTTGCTCCGAATTTTCCATTCCAATAGAAGGCCATCAAAATGCTTAATTGATTGAAGTGATTCTACAGAATCATCTTTATTCGGTGGATATGATATTATTAACCAAATCAATTCACAAATTGAGGGGTCACACAGCTTTGTTTTCTTGCAAATTGTGTTATTTTGGATTTTCCTATTATAATTGTAATCTTGTTATCAAGATCTAGATTTATAAGACATTATTTAGTTAATGGTGTAAACCTACTTATTTAAATGGGTGTTTTTCCAATTAAAACAAAACAAAAGTGCTGTATCATTCGCTGGGAATCGCAACCCGAATCCACATGCATTAGCTTATCGCTAGTTTATTGGACTTTCTGTTCGGTTTAACAAGTGTTCTATGGGCCTCTTATCGCTTAACTTAGTGCAAGTGTTTCCAGTGACGAAATCGAAGCTCAAAAGTTAGCAATTACTAGCACAGAATTTAACTTCTGCAGGTGCGTGTGTCTAAAAACGGGAAAACCTTATCGGCTGATGTAAGCGATGCGCGGTACTAAAAATAATGGGTTTGGTTTCTGGGGGTGTGTTTAGGGGAAGTTGCTTACCGGCATTGAAGAGAAAATAGTGCGCCTTCATGGGCAGCAGCTCTTTATCGATGGTGGCCTTCATTTTGTCGTAATTACGTTGACCCGCGCCGAAAAGATCAATACTAATTGCGTTTTATCGGTGCTAAATTCGCCTGTTTTCCAGTTCATTCACAAAAAATGCTAAGTTAAGCGGAAAAAGCATGTGTTCAACTCACACATGCAAAATCGTATGCATGCGGGTGCCGTTATAATACGTGTGTTTGTACCCAAGATCACGTTTCTCTTCCAATTGGAATTCGGTGCATTGGCGTTGTTTATTTTTTGGAGAATCAACACATTTCGCCCGTCGGCTAATTAGAACGCTTGGCAAGTGTTCGCATTTTTAGCTTTAATTAACAGAACGCACAATACAATCCGCAAAAATCGAGGGTTCCGGCTACACGGGCTTCCAAAACACGACTGATTGGAGCCGCTGGCGCTACGAGCCGAGTGTCAACACGTTTGTTTGCGTTCCGTCGTTTGTTTACGAATTCGCCTTATCTACGGCACACCAATTATTATAAAAAGAATACGCCCACCGACGAACATGAACATCACCGGGCCGTTCGGTTTTATTAGCACCGCTGAAATAAACTTAAAAATGAACGTAAGTTGCAGTCTCAGCTGATTAAACTGCCTAGGGATGGGAAATAGGCAAGCTAGAGATGACACACAATAGCACAACGGGACTCTCGAGCTTTCGCGAAATATTTAAAATAAGATGAAATTTAATCAAAATAAAATAGAAAATAGGCAATTATTTTAATACAGTTGATTTAGTTTTCAATGTTGAATAACGTTTGCAAATGTCAACTATTTTGTTCTTAATTAACCGAACAGTACTACAAAACAAGACATATTTTATTCAGGAAATTTAGAATATCAAGAATCAAAAAAATTCCTAATAATTAGATTTTCAAAATGTTATTTTTATAACTGGAGCAAATTTCAGGCCTGTAATAAATCAAATTATTAAAATTGATAAAACGAAGACGATTTTATCCTTAATATCCCAGTTATCACAAATCACTAATCTGGCAATAAATAATTCCCTAGAATTATATATTCGCATTACATAAATATCTAGTATAGTTCCAAAGAACAGAAGTAGCTGAACAGACAAAAACGCTCAGCCATTTTTTTATGCACATTTATATACGCATTTCATTTGTACAATTTCTCTCGAACTAGTGGGTAACTTATAATTACAATGACTCTATGCGTGAGATGGGGAACTTGGGGAAAACGTGGCTAATTGCAGGCGGGTCCTCATTCGTAGATGTGGCTGTAGTGCTGCTGGTATACATGTATGTAGTTCTCCTTCTCCTGCGGCGTCATCTGCGCTATCAGGTTGTCGTCCAGTTGGTCGAGCGGATGCGGCCGTCCTGCCACCAGCACAGTGGGCACATCGTCATCCTCCTCCGCGGAGTCCGAGTTAATATAATTGTCAAAGTCGACATCAGCTGTAATTATAAATATATTTATTTATCAATACTAAAATTGGAGGGGGCAAATGTATTCTTTTAAAAATATGCACCATTTAAATAGATTTGTTCTCATTTTTAACATTTTTAAAACTTTAATCACGATTTTCACAACATACTACTATTTTCAAGCTAATAAAAGTGCTTGTAAATACTTTTCTGACACTATGGAAAAATAGGTAATTGAAAGATATAGCCTTACGAATTTTTGCGTTGTCGATGTCCTTCTCATCGTCGCTGGAATCGCTGGAGTTGGCGTTTGAGGAGCCCACACGCATGCCTTTCATGTGCGGCTCCTTCTGGCCCGGCTGCTTCTCGTGCTGCAGGAGGACTGACATGATGTCCTCGTTCTCCTTGCGGTTGCGATGTCCGGATCCGCTGGCCGTCTGCACCGCATCGGCCGCGCCATCGGCAGCATCCGTGTCGGTTATCACAGTGCTCTCGGTCATCCAAATAGGCCGCGACTTGCGCTCCACCACGGAGTCCGATGTGTCGTCGCCGCCAATGGTAACGTCCACGCGGGTTTCCTCCACGGCGAAGCCCTGGTTGCGAGTCGCCTCGCCCGACCACGCCAAGCCATCTGGACGCATGGCGTTGGGCTTGTTCAGTCCTCGAATGGTATCGATGTCCACGGGCTCCGGTTCGAGCACCTCCGGCGCCAGCTTAATGCCCTCCACTTCCCTGAGCAGGTCGTAGAGTGGCTGAAGCTGCTCGTTAAAGTGGGCCAGCAGCAGACGCGAGTCCTTTTTGGGCATGGCGGCGCTGTCCTCCTCCACGGAGCATCCGCAGAAGGTGCAGCGGAACTCCAGCGTGGTCATGTCGAACAGTTGGTCTGCCTCGAGGTCCGTGAACGTCTTGGAACACGTGGAGCACTTGAAACTGGCCCTACTGGTGGCGTCCCGCTCCTCCGTCTCCATACGCTTGCGCATCAGATCCAGCTTGTACTTGACCACGTTCACAAAGGTCTTGTAGTTGATAAAGTAGTAATTGACCTTCTGGGCCTTGCCATCCGGCCCCGTTTCCATTTTCAGTCGAATCTGGATGAACTTGTCGGTGCGCAGGGTGGTAATCCTAGCCCTCAGCTGCTTCTTCTCGAAGCGCAGCAGCTCGCCGATGTCGTCCTCCTTCATGCAGGGATTCCGCACCAGCATGTCGATGATGAGGGCGTCCTCCAGGGAGTAGAATCCACGAACCACGAGGCGGGCCAGTTGCTTCAGGCTGCTGGGCACTTCGGTCACGTAGCGCACCTCCGTTTTCGCGGGCGCTGAATTCGAAGCAGCCGCGGATGTCGACGACATCGTGGTTTTAGCTGGGGGATCGGCAGTATATATAGAGTTAAAGGCTTGTTGATTTTTCGTGACTCCCACGCGACTCACCAGTCTCTCTCGGTTCCGAAATCCCGGGAGCGGTGCTCTTTTCGGTTATTCACAGGTTGCGGTGGGTTCGAGGATCTTCATGTGTCGTCCAGCACTCATTTGTTCCTTATATATACGTATTTAAGTTGTTTTTCCTCCGCAAAAATAATAATTTCCGCCGCCAATTAGAGCTGGACAAAAATTCGATAGCCAGTCGATTTATGGCAGAAATTTGGCATCAAAAATCAATTGACATCGAATAAATTTATCGATATAATACAAATATGCACTTTTAGCAATTGCTCGAACCAATTTTATGCGCGCTCACTTTGCAGCATTGCCATATCAAAAATATTAAAATTTAAATTTCTACTTTGGCGGTTAAAAATCAAACTTTTAGTGATAAACTTTGAAATCTGGATTCAGTAGATAAATTTTAATGAGCCCTTAAGCCTTTTATGTACACAAATATATTGCCAATTACTTTATTTATAATGAGACTTAGACTTCTGAATAAGGACATTTAGAGAAGAATCTAAATAACAGTATGAAAACTTTAGAGCATAAATGTGAAAATAGTAGCTATGACAAATTTAATTTAATTTACCCATTTATTTTTGTTATTAATTCCTACTTTAAAATTCTAAGTTGTCAAAAAAGAGTAAACTTTTATCAGGAATTTCTCCTTTAAAGATACCAAGGACCCTACAATAATATTCTACGGGTGTTTGCCGAATTTGTTCTGCACTTATTTTTCTTATTTGCGCTCTGGCTTTGTAGAGAGCTTTGCATATGAGCGCTGTTTGCTTTCAAATGGTTTTGGCCGCACAAATAAGTGAAAATAATCCAACAAGTCGCTCTCTCGCCGCCGCCTTGTGCCCCTTTGTTTATCCGGTCGAAGTGCTTAATATTTCATGCTCCGCTGTCTAGGGCCGTCTATTTTTTAATGCGAACTTCGCCTTACGTTCGAGTGCATTCCGGTGTAATCCCCCAGAACGACGCTCGCCCACACGAAAAACATCCCAGCTACACAAACAAAGCAGCCACCGCCGGGGTGGAATTTTCCAGGGGTTGGAGGTCGGAGGACGGGGGACAGACGTCCTCCTGCGTGTTTATTTGGCTGCCAACACACTTCTGTTGTCCTCGATGAATGTCATGGATATAATTGGGCCCACAATGCGAAGTCCGAAGTTCGAATCAGCTGCTTCGTGTTTACAAATGCAAATTCAACAGACAGAGTAGAGTGAAATTTATCGGCCACGGAGTAGACATCTGAATATTGGTTGAAAAACTGGACTTTGGTCACGAAGTAATTAAAAATACTTACAAGGAAAGCTAACTTTATAAAACCCTTCAAGAAGTCTATTATGTTTTTCTGTAAAAAGTCGTATTCAAATTTTTCAAGAAGGAATGCCTCTATCTGAAAATCTCTTTATAAGCTCAACGTAAAACTTTCCATATTCGATTTTTTAAATAACTGCCTAATAACACAAAATACACAAAGAAAAAACTAGACTAAAACATTTTAAAAAGGACAATTTGTTTTACTTATGAGATAATTTTAAATCGAACTTTGCTTATTAAACTATCTTGATTCATTAAACAATTCATTTTCGAAAGGCAGAAGAGATAATTGACATTTTTTTATAATTATTTTTAAAAATATACTATATTTGCACGGAAAAATTAGATGTTAATGTTTTGAAAACAAAGGTACATATGTTGGAAAATTAGTTCCCTAGCATTTGTGTCTTGTCATACAAAATAAAAAATTGTTAGCTCTTTTTTGCAAAAAACATTCCACAAGATTAAAGGAAATTATAAGAATATATCGGAAAATGTGACTCAAAACTAACTTTTTTTTAATAAAATTATTGTCTAAAAGTGAGTAGAACTGTTTACAGTGGCAACTGCAGCACGTGAACACCCACGGGCGATCATCCTGCGGAGCTGCCAACATTCTTCGGAAAAGCGCAAGTTTTCCGGGGGGTGGGTCACCCCCAGAAACTCCACCTGAGCTTGTTTACCTTGCAGGGAAAGCAGGGCGCAGACTCTGCGAGAAAATAGACAGAGGAGTAGGCCCAAAGTGTTTGGACGCTTGGCCAAGAACTTAGCCATTTGGGCACCCCCAGAACTACGTCCATGGGAAAAGCTTTTCCGCGTGAGAAAGAGAGAGAGAGCGGTGGCCAATGCGCAGGCCCTCTCTCTTTCGTTGCGGGAAAAACAGAAAACAGGCTTTCCCACTTTCGCTGGTGACATCCGCCTGCAGTTTGAATTTTGAGTCGTGCGCGCTAACGCTCGTTTTCCTCGCTTTTCCGCTCGACCATTTTCCACGGCGGCCACAACAATTACAGGCGACAAAAGCGTGCAAACACTCTTTTTGTTTTCAAACGTTTAACTGCAATTTCCTCCTCTGTCTGCGAGGCGGTGGACTTTTTGCGGCTTTCGTTTTTCCGTTCGCGTGTGTTTTCTTTCGGTGTTTTTGTGTTTTCCGCTGCGAATACGGGACCCAAAGGAAAGCCACGATAAACACAAAGGGAAATTGGGAAAACGCGGCGCCGCAACTTTTGCCAAATTGATTTTTATTGTGTGAGACGCAGAGTTCAAGCATTATATAAAGAATCTAGCAAGGAAAAGGTTGGTCTCTTAAACACTCACAAAAATGTTGAAAGTATTGAAACTAGAAATTATAAAATATGCCAAAAAATAAGAGACATTTACTTCAGTTAATGGATTATGTTTGTTGGCTGCACGTGATTTTGTTGTTGGCCAGTTTCATTCTGAGGTGTGGAAACAT